TGTGCACCACCACTCCCAGACTTTTTAACACGGTCTCTGAGTATCAAACTGAAGGTCTCATGGCAAGCACTCCCAGGCCCCGTGGAACTTATTTTCATTGATAAATGTTGAAAGTTATTTCTTAAAATTGGGGTTAATGTACAAAACTTCTATTGTGCCTATGATGTTCAGTCCTCTAGATGGGTGGTTAAATAAGCAAAGGACAAGAATTATGAAAACTAAAACTTTCTGCTTCCTTAGCCCAGGACACTCCATTAGGATCTACCCCTTTTAGAAAAATATTCATGATTTCCTGAGAAAATCAGTACTGGGCATCCTGTAAAATATTAAGTAAACATTTAATATAACTTGAGACTAGAAAAATGGCTCAGCACTTAAGACGACTGGCTGCTCTTGCAGAGGACCCAGGTCTGGTTCCCAGCACCCACAGGATGGCTAACAACCATCTGTAATTCCAGTTCCAGGGATCCAGTGCCCTTTTCTGGCTTCCAAAGGCACCGCATGTGGGCGGTGCACTTACATACATACAGGAAAAATACTCCTACACAAAAACAAATAAATAAATAAACAAATAAATAATACTCATACAGATAAAAATAAATAAAATTTTCAACTTTTATATTTAGATATTTTAAAAATTGTCTAAGATATTTGGAATTTTCTTTGGTATAGTCTTAAATGATAAAAACAGCACTAATATTGCTTTTAGTGAAACTACAAATGAGGATGTTACTATGGCCGTTCATTAATTACTTTTTGTTATGACTTTTTGCTAACCTACATACACCTCCTTCCTTACCTGAACCAAGTCTTTGTGTTTAAAAGGTTTAAAATATTTTCACTACCTCTGTAAAATAACTCTCATTATTCAGCAATATGGTTTTTATTTTTTATCTTTAAATTTAATTTTTTAAGTATGTGTATATATATATATATATATATATGTGTGTGTGTGTGTGTGTGTGTGTGTGTGTGTGTGTGTGTGTGTGTGCCTGTGTACTGGTGCCTACACAGCCCAGAGGTGTCAGACCCCCCTAGAGCTGGAATTACAGGCAGCTGTGACCTGCCTCATGTGGGTGCTGGAAAGCAAACTCAGGTCCTCTGCAAGAGCATCAAGAGCTCTTAGAAACTGAGTCATATCTCCAGCCCAGCCCCAATCAGGTTTTAAATTGACAATATATCTTCCCAAAGAGACCTCATTTTGGGTTGCCTCTGTTTTTATTATTTTATTTTTATTAGTTTTATTTTATATGTATGAGTGTATTGCCTGCATACATGTAAGTGCACCCATGGCATGCAATGCCCTCAGAGGTCAGAAGAGGGCATCAGATCCCCTGGAACTGGAGTTACAGACAATTGTTATCTGCCATGTGGGTGCTGGGAATTGAACCCAGGCCCTCTGCAAGAGCAGCCAGTGCTCTTCACCACTGAGCCATCTCTCCAGCCCTGTTGCCTCTGTTTTAAATCTAAACTATCAGAAAAAAACAAACTTTCTACTAAGGAAAATAAATTATTAACTAGGACCAACCAAATGGATTAATATGTTACTATTGATAATAAAAATGTTTAAAATGTGCTGGGCATGGTGGTGCATGCCTTTAGTCCCAGCACTCAGGAGGCAGAGGCAGGTAGATCTCTGTAAGTTCAAGGCCAGCCTGGTCTACATAGTTCCAGGCCTAGCTGGAGCTACAGAGAGACCCTGTCTCAAAAAGAAAAATGTGGGGTTGGAGAGATGGCTCAGCGGTTAAGAACACTGGTTGTTCTTGCAGAAGACCCGGCTTCAAATCCCAGCACCCACATGGCAGCTAACAACTGTCCATAATTCCAGTCCCAGGGGATCTGATGGCCTCTTCTGACCTCTGCAGGCATTGTATGACATGGGTGCACTTACCTACATGCAGGCAATACACCCATACACATCATAAAATAAAAATAATAGGTTGGGCGTGGTGGCGCATGCCTTTAATCCCAGCACTCCCCGAAGTTAAAAACACTCACTCCTCTCAGACGGGGTTGGATGATCTACTGTCCCTGCACCCACAGGACAAAGCTCTAGTTCCATTTGGCCATCTTGGGAATCCCAGGCAGGAAGAGTATGACAGAAAAGAGAAATAAATAAGTAAATGTGAGACAGTTAGTAAGCTCAGGCATTATCAAAAATTAAATTATATCTCATATGTGTTTGAAATCAAAATGTGTTTGTGCCAGACATGGTGGCTCACACTTACAGTCCCAGGACTTGGGAGGCTGAAGCAGGAAAGTGATGTCAGTCCAGGCCAGCATGGGCTGCAAAGTGAGCTTGAGGCTAGCCTAGAATAAACAGAAAGACTTTAAAAAAAAAAAAAAAAAAAAAAAAAAAGAAAAATGTTAAGAAAAAATGTTAAAATGCCACAGATTAAAAGCTCTAAAAAAGCTTTAGCTTCTTCTCAGTCACGTGACTACCTTATAGTAACTTTAACCCCATTAGTTCTCATTAGGCATACCCAATGATCTGGGTTAACTCTTCTTATCCAAACTATACAACAAACAAAGACTCCCCAGACAAAAAGACAACCAAACAACAGAAACCAACCAGTCCGTGGCCTGGTGAGCAACATTCCTGGTGTTTCAGACCTTAGAAGTCCATGTTTCTTTTTTAAAAAAAAATTTATTTTTAGTATTTTTAGTTATGTATATAAGGGGTGTTACATGGCCGTGCAGGTGCCCGCAGAGGTCAGAGGCATCTGATCCCCTGGAGCTGTGCAAAGTTATAAACAGTTGTGAGCTGTGCAGTGTAAAAGCCAGGATTGAACTCAGGTTCTCTTGCAAGACAGAAAGCACTCTTATCAGCTAAGCCATCTCTCCAACCCTATGTTTCTTCAGTAAATGAGTATTAAAGGCATCCTATAGTACAGTTAGTGGGGCCAAAAAGTAGAATTAAATAATATTTATGTTTTACAGATAAGAAATTAAATGGACAAGGGGATGTGGTGGCACACACCATTAATCCAGGCACTCAGGAGGCAGAGGCAGGCGGATCTCTGTGAGTTCAAGGCCAGCCTGGTCTACATGGTCCGTTCCAGGACAGCTGGGGCTATAGGGAGACCCTGTCTCAAAAAAAAAAAAAAGGAAGAAGAAATGGACACTATTATAAATAATTAAATAATTAACACTGGAGTCCCATTGACCTTTCTGACAATCAAAAAAGATTTAGTGATGCCAGAGCTGAAAAGCTGGCTCAGCTGGCTCAGCACTTAAGAGCACTGGCTGCTCTTGCAGACCCAGGTTCAGTTCCCAGCACTCACATGGCAGCTAACAACCATCCATAACTCCAATTCCAGAGGATCCAATACCTTCTTCTGGTCTACACAGGCATTACATATAAGTGTGCACTTACATGCAGGCAAAACACTTAAACACATACTATAAAAATAAATAAATAAATTTTTTTAAAGATTTGATGATGCTTACAAGGCCCATAAAATCCAAATTTTTCACAAATCTGACCTCAAGTTTCTATCTTGACACTCATAGTATTGGCATAGACACAATTTTTTGATATAAAACAATTTTGTTAAAGAGAATTCAAAGTAATACAAGGTCCATAATATGGCTCAGCAGGTAAACACACTTTCTATACAAGCTTGAGGATCTGAGTCATACACAGTAACAATAATAAATAAATGTTTTTAAAAATAAAGTAATATATTTACTAGCTTGCCTCTTGCTGAAGGTATTGTGAACTCAATTTCCCAGGAAAAAGAGACACAGCATGCTACAGATTCTACAAAACGGATGGACCCATTAGTGCTTGATAATCGTGGAGAGTTGGAATGTAGTAGATCCACAGCCAAATTGTTTGGGGGTTATCTTCAGCCCCCTTGCCCACCAGTGTGGGTGACCTAATAGCCCTGTGACTAACAGGTAAAACCTTTGAAATACATTAACAGAACATTAGCTTCCAACAATCGAAAAGCTAAGAGTATCATCAGATAACATCTGAGGCCTGTTGCAGAGACTCCTTCACTTTGCTATAACTCACCTACC